AAATAAAGGGGCAACACACATTTCCTTTGGGAAGGTAAATTGCACTTCTCGAAGGGAGGGGTTGAAGGGTGTGTGTGGGGGGTAAGGTTATCAGCCCGCCCAACACCAAGGCCCTGATTCAAATTGCCCAGCTCCCAACAGGTTGGCTGTTATTTCTATTTCAAGATGTCTCTGTGAGACGGAAGATCCAGAATGTCTCCCATCTTGTCTTGTTGCACCGTGGAATGTGACTCCCAACATATGTGTTTGTGTATCTGGGAGGAAGAGTGATGTTGGCTCAACAGGAGCTTGAACCTTCTGTTTCATCCACAAACTAAAAGGCTCTCTGGATTCAGAGCACTGTGGCATGTTAGAGGAAAGTCGGAAGGAAGAAGGAGCAAGGGAGTAACCCCTGAAATAAGGGATCACCAGATTTAATTGCAAAAGGAATATTCTGTTTTCCCTTGTCTGGAAAAAAGCCCAAGGAATGCCAGGTCTGATATACCAAAGACTCCCTTAAATTGTTCATGCAATCCCATGCATGTTGCCCAATTTTTTTTTATTTGTCTTGTTTATACTCAGTTTATACTGAGACAGCTGACCACCAAACCTGGGGGGGTTGTCCCCATCTTGGATGATTAATATAGGTATAGCACCGTATTATTGGAAGGTTTTATTGTGATTTTAAATGTTCTATTTATTATATACTGTATTGTATTTTGCACTCGGCTTTGCCGCATGTGAGCCGCCCTGAGCCTTTGGGAGGGCGGGATATAAATCAAACTAATAATAAATAAATAAATAAATAATAAACCACCTTTCTCACTGAGACTTGATTACAGAGTAAAGAAAGGAGGAGGGATGAAATCAAACCGTTCAAGGCATTCAGTGAACAGGACTGGGAATATCTTTATGGAATAAATAGTCTGTGCCAGAAGATTTTAGAACTGGACATTCAGGGACTCCCCTAATAGAACAAGCTATTTCAGCAGTGCAGAGAGGCTGGGGCTGTAAATGGGATTCTAGAGCTGTCGTGGCCAGAGCTGCACAGTTAAGGAGTTCTGTGTGTTCTTCCCTGGAGGCTTATTGGTGATGGAAAGTGCTGTCAAGTTGCAGTCAATCTATGGCGACGCTGCAGGGGTTTACCGGGCAAAAGACGAGTGGAGGTGGTTTGCCGCTGCCTGCCTCTGCATAGTGACCCTGGACCTTCCTTAGAGGTCTCCCATCCAAATACTAAACCAGGGCTGACCCTGCTTGGCTTGCAGATGAGACTGGGACAGCCTGAGCCATCCAGGTCAGGGCAGAGGCTTAGCACAGGCAGGCTAAACTTTCACTGCACACAAACCTGCCTTTACGCATTGCCAAGCAGAAGCATGTCCAGTCCCTAACGGAACCCTGCCGCGGAGGGAAGTTAGCTTGTAAAAGATTCCAGACCTTTGCGTGCCTGGGAGACATTTGTACTCTAAGGCTTTGCATCAGAAAATTGGGGTGTGTGGCCAAGAGCACAGTAAGAACCAATTCACATGACCTTTATGCTCTTAGCCGTGGGCCAAAGCAGGACATCACATTGCAGTTGGGCTCATGGCCACATATTCGGATGACCTCTGCCACATTCCCAGCTACAGCGCATATCTTGCTTAAACCAAAATGGCACACATAAGAAGAGCCATGCTGGTTCAGACCAGAGGCCCGTCTAGTCCAGCACTGTGTTCAGACAGTGGCCAACTGGCTGCCTCTAGGAAACCCACAGACAGGAAGACTGCAAAAGCATTATCCTGTCTGTGGTCTCTAGCTGATTTAAAGAAGCATACCGCCTCTGGTATGGGAGAGCAAACCATTGTGCTTGTTGCATCTTGACTCAGCCACATTCTTCTTGCTCAACAGAGGAATGTCGGTCTCGTGAAACTACTGAAGCTGAAGAGGTAGTACCAACAGTAACCCTCTTTGCATGGAGGTGAAGAATGTGTAGGGTTGCCAGCCCCCAGGTCTGAGCAGAGGATCCCTCACTTTCAGGGGCTTCTCCTTGCTGTGGACCAGCGGGCTGTTGGGGGAAGCCCTGCCCCTAAACAGGGACATTGCCTGTGATGTCCCTGACATGATGACATCACCCGGAAGTGATGTCATCACATCAGAGACATCACGCAGGGGACACTCTGGTTTTTGGGCAAAACTCTATGGTTTGAGGGCAAATTTACGATAGAGTTTTGCCCAAAAACCAGAGCATTGTATGCAGTGTCACTGATGCAATGACGTCACTTCCAGGTGATGTCATCGTGCTGGGGATGTTGCGCATGATGTCCCTGCCCACCCCCAAATTGCCCCATTGGATTGACAAGGGAACCTGGCAACCCTAAGCATGTGTCACCATTTTGATCACATACCTAAAGCAACTTGTGAGATGACGGAGGAGTTCCATATGCACATGATCTGTGCAATCTCGTCCCCTTTTTTTCATGAGGCAAGAATCACATGAAATAGGACCCAAAGATATGGGACACCATAACCCTTTTTGGACAATCTGAGGGAATAGCCTTGACTTGGATAGCCCAGGCTAACCCAGTCTTCTCAGATGTCAGAAGCTAAGCAGGGTCAGTCTTGTTAGTACTTGGATGGGAGACCATCAAGGAAGTCCAGGGTTGCTATGACAAACCACCTCTGAACCTCTCTTGCCTTGAAAATCATCCAGGGCAGCCATAAATCGGCTGCGATTTGACAGCACTTTCCACCACCAGGAAGGAATGTATATGGAGGGAGCAGAAAAGTAGCAGCGAGCAATGCCCCCTCCACCTACTAATCTTCATTAGAACATATGCATAAGGTTTATTCATGTGCATTAGTCTATGTATGTCGCTTGCTACACAAGATTGGAAACTCTTTCTCAGGTTTTCCTCCTGATTGTGAGCAGACAGTCCTATATGCGTGTACCTTTGTATATATATATATATAAATGCTATAGATATGAACCAATGAATGTGTCTAAGCTGAAGCAGAATTTGCCTCCACAATCCCACTCCTTTGTCTATACACGTTTATTCTACCCCCTCAGAATGTCTGTAAACTGCTCATTTGGAGTATCTAAATTACATTATTTGAAGGACTGTCTCCTTCCGTATGTCCCTGTGCCCCAGCTATGGTAATCAGGAAGCCATCTGTTGGCTGTCCCACCACTTAGGGGGGCCCATCTAGCATCGACCAGAACTCAGGCCTTTCCCACGTGGCTCAGGCTCTGTGGAATGGGCTCCCTGAAGAGATTAAGAGAGACCCCCTCCTGGGAGATCTTCAGGGGAAGCTGTAAGGCCTGTCCAGTTGCCAGGACTTCTGAGGGGGATTGAACGGTAGGCGTCTTTTAAGGTGGGGTGGGGAGAGGTTTGGGGTTTGCTCTTTTGTTTTTAAATGGAAATGTTTATAACTATTATTGTAAGCCACCTTGACCCATGAGGAAAGGCAGGATATGAATGCTTTAATGAATAAAGTAAATGATAAATCATGTGCATTGGAAAGAGAAGAGGTCCACCAGCCCTCCTCCACATGTGAAGGATCATCAGCCAGGTCAATGTCCGAGCCAGCCCAGAGACTGGTTCTGAATGGCGTTTGTTTTCATGTTCTTTATAAGGGAGGCTCTCCGTCTCATTTGCGAGAGGTTGCCTGGTGGATGGATGGTCCTGCTTTGAGACAGTTGGGTAAACTAAAGGGTCATCTGGTCCCCACCCTTTCTCCTTCTTTTGGCATCGCTAACATGGGCTTATCAGGGATCGTTTTGACAAAGGGAGCTTTGACTCTCGAAAGCTCCTACCCTGGACATCTTGATGCTCTGGGACTCAAATCGAGCCACTTTGTATTGAGTTCTGGGAATGCCTTCTAATGCTGGGTTCTCAGGTCTAGAACTGGAAAGGTGGAAACTCTCCCAAAAAGTTGTTAAGACAAGTAATGATATGAGATTGACTATATTGAATATGTAAACACATACAGCACTTCAAAAGAATGTAATGCACACCATAGAGTCACACAAACCACAGAATGATGATTCTTAAAGTAATACAATACAAAAGACCTACCTTGACGCACTGTACCCTTTGATGAAGGACTGTCTTCAAAATGGTCTTAATATTATGTACGATACTGTCGGGGTATACTGGGCAGTGTTTTCTCTATGGACTGTTATTGCCTCTAGGAGGGCTTGTGCTTGTGGACTATTTTGGAGTGTATTGCTTTAAAAATCATCATTCTGTGGTTTGTGTGACTCTATTACATTCTTTTGAAGTGCTGTATGTGTTTACATATTCAATATATTCAATATAATCCTATGAGTATCATTACTCATGTATGTTGTCTTCCCTATCCCCCATGAATATTGTTAGTCCAATTGTCAAAGAGTAACTGTAAATCGCTCTGAGCCCACAGGTGTGTGGGAAAGAGCGATCAATAAATCGAAAGTATTATTATTATTACTTGTCTTAAAAACTTTTGGGGAGAGTTTCCACCTTTTCATTTCTAGATTTACACTCTCCCTTCCCAATTAGTTTTGTGGGTTATCAGGTCTGGAATATATAAAGTTATACAATAAGGATGGAACTTGGTCCTGTTTCAGTGTCTTAGCAGGAGACCAGAAGTATAGAAAGCCAAAACATTTTCAAAGGGCCTCTTTAAATTGGGGTTCAGTAGCGTCTTTGTTCTCTGTGGAACTCCATCATTCGCTCTGACTGCATGGATCAGCCTCCTGACCTGCTGTGCTGATCATGCGGGAATCACTGCAGCACAAACGCCTGTGGCTTTCCTAATGCTTCCAAAATCCCCCTCCCCCTCCCACCAAGCACACACCCTGGAAACTGATTCTAGGAGTCTGCCTCTGTAGACTCCAGTTGCTCCATATCTGGGTACCTGTCAGCAGTGAAACAGTTTCCAACCAGGCGGGAGTCCCAAAAGAACAGGCAGAAATGGAAGTATTATTCATACGCTTTGAACTACAGAGACGGCTTGGGAAAAACTTCCCTGAACTACTCTTTTAATTTCCTCCTCTCCAGTTTCTTCTAATGCAATGACCCAGCAGCCACAGGATGAATTTGAAAGCAGCGTGGAGAGTGCGGTAGACTGGATGAAGACCATCCAGGAGAGACTGCGGATCAATGACAACACCAAGGGGCCTCGGTCTGCCTTGGAGGCCAGGCTAAGGGACACGGAGGTAAAGAAGGAGAGATGCTCCCCTTTGGATGTGGTTTCAGATGGTTTTATTATTGTCATTGCTGTGAGAACAAGCAGTCGTGATTTCGGTTGCCATTCTAAGGCTCAGACTAGACACAAGGGGAAGATACGTGTATATTTGTTACTATAAAGGTAAAGTGGGACACAGAGTCACAACCGAGTCATGGAGACCCCATGAAGCTCCACCTCATGTGGTTTTCAAGGAGATGAACAGAGGTGGTTTGCCACTGCCTTCCTCTGCATAGGCAACACCAGTCTTCCCTGGAGGTCTCCCATTCACCTACTGACCATCACTAACCCTGCTTAGGTTCCAAACCTCTGATGAGGCAGATCAAGATGGGTAGCTGTGTTAGTCTGTCTGTAACCTGACGGAGTGAGCTCCCGTCTCTAGTTCCAGCTCCTGCCAACCTAGCAGTTCGAAAGCAAGAAATTGCAAGTAGATAAATAGGGACCACTTCGGTGGGAAGGTAACAGCGTTCCGTGCGCCTTGGTGTTTAGTCATGCTGGCCACATGACCACGGAAACGTCTTCGGACAGCGCTGGCTCTTTGGCTTTGAAACGGAGATGAGCACCGCAACCCTAGAGTCGGACTCGACTGGCTTTCGAGCAAGGGAACCTTTACTTTTACCTTTACTAACAGCAGAAAAGAGCAAGAGTCCAGTAGCACCTTAAAGATTAATAAAATATGTGGCAGGGTAGGAGCTTTCATGAGTCGCTGCTCACTTCTTCAGATACCATGATATCTGAAGAAGTGAGCAGTGACTCACGAACGCTCCTACCCTGCTCATCCCCTGCCACAAATCTTGTTAGTCTTTAAGTTGCTCCTGGACTCAAATTCTGATGAGATTAGGCTAGTCTGGGCTATTGGGGCTGCTTGTTTAATATATTTACACATGTAAATAGAGTTGCTCTGCTTTGGGGAATTCCTGAAGATGCCTCGAGTCCCAAGTGAGAAGGGTGGGCTATAAATAATGGAAATTAATTTGCGGGCAGAGCCTGGGGAGGGTAGAGTTTGAGGAGGGAGCTCAGCATGGATGGGATGCCATAGAGTCTACTGTTTGAAGCTGCCATTTTCTCCCGGGGACCTGATCTCTGGCGTCTGGAGTTCAGTTGTAATTCCAGGAGAGCTCCAGCCCCCTCACCTGGCTGCTGGCAACCCTACATGTAAAGCGTGTGTGGTGCTCTGTTTCAATTAGAAAACAGTGTGGATGGCGGAGAGGAGCTACAGCCTGACCCACTGCGTTTCTTACCTCACTCTGTTTCTGAGGGAATAAGAATTTTTCTCCAGGCTCAGCTTAGATACCTGGAAATGAGCTGGGACAGAAGAAAAATGCTTCATACAACAGAGCTTAGCGTGTTAAGAAGAAGAAGAGTTGGATTTATACCCCAACCTTCACTTGGAGCCTCAGAGCAACTTACAGTCTCCTTCCCTTCCTCTCCCCACAACAGGCATCCTGTGAGGTAGGTGGGGCTGAGAGAGCTCTGAGAGAACTGCTCTTGAGAGAACAGCTCTGAAAGAACTGTAACTGACCCAAGGTCACCCAGATGGCTTATGTGGAGGAGTGGGGAATCAAACCCAGTTCTCCAGATTAGAGTCCGCTGCTCTAACCACTACACCTAACTGGCTGAGGAGACTGCAGGGCTTTAGCTTCTGTCATTAATGGGCTCTATTTGTCTTTAAAATTGGGTGCAGACACACATTGCTCGACACACAAACAGGAAGACATGAATAAATACACTCGGGTCCTCCCACTGTGTCTAATCTGATCCTGAAAGTCTAAATACACAGCATCTTGCAGATCTGAATGTCATTTTTTCCCCTTATAAGCTGGCCTTTGTTTGCTCAGTACGGGCCACCCCAGAGCTGATATTGTGTCTTGAGTATTTGCAAACCGCGTAGCCTACACATGTCAAATTAGTGATGGATTGGAGCAGGAAACACATGTAGAGATTGTTATAGCTTTTTATAGTGTGATTAACTATCCATGTCTGTCATCCCGTTTCTGTTTTGTTGTGTTCGCTGTCAACATGAGGCATGAAATCAGCCTCAGATAAGAATTTAAGCATTGTGTTGCTGTATTTGAGCAAAGGTCATCTGGTCTAGCATTCTGTTTCCAGCTGCCAACCAGATGCCTCTAAATCACTATTAGCAGAGTATGATGGTGAGAGCCATCCATTTTTCTATGTCCTCCGAATCGGGCATTCATAAGATATACTGCCCCTGTATATGGAAGTTCTTTTTAACATTTATGGTTCATCACTTTGATAGACAATGAGTTTGTCTGATGCTTTTTAAAGACTATTTAAGTTGCCACTGACTCATCTCATGGCAGTGATTCCTAAAGAAGAGCTGTGTACTTCAGTGAATGATTAATTGGACCTTTATCCCCAGACAGTTTGTATTTTTTCCTCTCTGCACTATGATGGTCTCTTATCAACCTTACAGCAGGGATTAACAGTGCAGTTCTAATCAGAGTTATACCTTTCTCAGCCCATAGAACTCAAAGAGCTTAGAAGGATATAACTCTGTTTAGGTTTGAACAGTCAGTTAGTGAATGTTAATATTTATTCACTATAATCATAACAGACAGAAATTACTCTAGCCAATATCTTCTTTTTCATAGCTGTTTTTCAAAAAATAAATTGGTTCCAGAGTTTCTCTTTCCAAGCTGGGCAGTTCATACTTTTTCTTTCTCCCCCCCCCCCTTTCTATGATTTATTTTCTGCTAATCTGTTAATGAAAACACCAGCCAAGAAAAGCAGCAATTAAAAAAAAGGCTCAAGAAATGCGAATGTCAACATTGCTGTCGATTTTCACAAGGCTGATTATTCACCCTCACTAGAAACGCTAATGAGCTCTGAAACCAGGGCTACAGATGTATTTATAGATCTCTCTTTTGTCACCTTATATTATGTGCCAGTGTCTGAATTTTAGTTCCTTTTACAGACACATCCTCTCAAGCAGGGATGAAGCCTAAAAGGAAAGAGACATAACCAATGTTCCCTCTAAGCTGCAGAGTCTTGTGTGCAAAAATTCCACTTTGTGAGTGACTAGCATTAAAGTTGTGAGCGAGCGATTGGGCTGCTGCATAAATTAGTTTGCTCTGGAGCCATCCTTCCTGAGCCAAGACAAAAATGTGTGAGCCAGAGGCTAAAAAACTCTGAGCTAGCTCACACTAACTCAGCTTAAAGGGAACACTGGACATAACATTTATAGAGCACTGGAACTACCTTAGAAGCATCCTCACCACCTTTAAGACAAATGTACCTTTTACTTAATTGTGCAAATATGTAGCAAAAGCCAGCGATGAATGGCACTGATTGGCTAATACCCATGAGATCATAGACACAGCCCCGCAGTTTCTAAGAAGCTCTGCAACACTTTTTAAAACATTCTTTTAAAAATGAGAGGAGGATAAGGATAAAAATGCTCATTTTTGAGGGGAGTGTACAGATAAAGCAAAATAACTTGCTTTGAAGTATGTGAAGGGAGTGGTGCACAGCTGACAGGAAAACCACTATCTGATTTGATAGAATGCCTGTCTGTTTTGCAGACTGCAAAGTGGGGAGGGAGTCTAGTTCACACTGTGGTTGAAAAAAAACCCACTCTGACTTCTTTTAAAACATTACACCTCTCTTTTATTACCAAAAATAATTGATTTATTACCCTGCTGGCACATGGTCTCCCAGCCAAGTGGCTGATCAGTTCTGCACCTGTTTACCTTCACTGACTGTGCACCACCAGGTGATCCCAGGTCATTGATGTTTGTGGTGCTCTCTAAGTTCCACCACTCGCTTTGGCGCACCTGGATTTGCTGATCTGCCAATTAGCTTTCATTGGATTGGGGGAACACAGTCATCTCTCCATACGCTTGAAAAGCTCTGTAGAGCTGTGTAGCGGCTCCAGGCATAGTTGGATGCAGTTTTGGGTTGTTGTTTTTAAAACTGGCTTTTAGTTTTGATCCTTTAAAAATACTAATTAGGGGTTAGATCCAGCCAACTTTCTTGCCCAATCTCGCCCAATTCCCCTCCCTAGTACAGCCTCTGTCCCATGTGGCTTTTGTCCAAGTAGGTCCCATGATCTTCAGCATAGTCTTTTCAGTGATCAAAGGGGACTCTCTCTCCTCCCTATTTCACCAGAGGGAAAACTAGTTAGATGCAGGGGGTTTTTGGTAGCTTTAACATACATCAACTTTGATACTCAGACATAAAGATTTACAAAGGGATTTCACTGTCATTAAAAGTCTGTCAGGGCTTTCAGTATATGGTGAAAAGAAGAAGCAGGCTCTGGACCATGAAAGCTGATGCAGCAATAAAACTTTGATAGTCTTTAAGGTGCCACTGGACTCCTTGTTTATTTTTGCTGCAATGGACTAACACTCTGAAATGAATGTCGAGGTCACGTCTGTTGTTGAAAACATGGCTCTAAACGAACGAAGTGCTTTCACGCAATGATAAGAAAAATTAAATCAAATGCCAAGATTTTCTAGGGGAAATGTAAGAGGACTGTGACTGGATGTCATGATGTTTTAAGTTTGATTTAAAAACAGGCACTGAGTGAGTTGGGTAAGAGCTGTGGCATTGGGAGGAAGGGCTAAACCCCTGTATCTTCACTGCTTCTAAGATACATATCAGCTCATTCGCCTCACACACACACCCCGCATCCCCATGGGGACACTGCCACCATTTTAAAGCCTAAAATAGGCAATTTTAAAATGCTGTGAAGGGAGCTCATATTATGACCGAACAAGATGATCACCCCCCCAAACTACCTTTTAAAGTTCCCAATCTTTGGGAGTTTTAAAATGGCAGTGGTATGCCCGTGGTGGACACGAGGACACTGTTGCTTCTAGTTTGGCCCTTAGTCTCCTCTGTGCCAGTGCTAGGTCTGTGATCCAAGCCCCCCGCCCCTGGTGACTGTTTTTAAATAAATCTGAGGGTCAATCACAGATCTTCGACGATTTAATCCCTAAAGTTTTCAGCTTTAAAACCAACTCTGGCAATGGAAATAGAGTTCCCATTTCCTTTAGGATTCAAAAATTTATTGATGGTTTAATTTTGATGTGTGATTTCTTCCTAACAGAAAATTTGTCAGTTGGAGCCTGAAGGCCGGTTGAAAGTCGACTTAGTACTAATGAAGGCTGATGCTCTCCTTCGGTGCCTCAGTGAGGAGAAAAAGCACAAGATTTTATCCAAACTGAAAGATGTTAAAGCCATGTGGGAAGAAACTGCCATATATATTACTCACTGTCACAGGTAATATTGCTAAGTGTTTCCTTTCAGGCCTGCCATCAGGATCCTTCAGTTCTGACGGCAGAGACCACAGCCAGTTAGTCAGCATAAAAATGGCATACTTGCTCCACTTTTCTCTGCCATTTTGTAGAATATCCCTTTTTCTGATTGGCCTCCTAATCTGCTTGTGTGGGAGCCATACACAGTTCCTTTCATGTAAAGCGACACACCAGTCCTGAACATTGTACTGCCCCACACATCCAGGAAGCCTTTCTTACAATAAGACTTTATTATTTAAACTTCACAGTACTGTCATAGCAGGTACTCTTTTGTGACAGAATTTACACATGAATTAGAATGTGACTTCCTGAGATCGTTACTACTTCGTGGAGTTATCCTATCTGAAAAACTTGCCTTTTCGTCCTGGAAGAACTACATAGATTCAGGTGGGTAGCCATGTTGGTCTGAAGCAGTAGAAGAAAGTTTGAGTCCAGTGGCACTTTTAAGACCCACAAAGTTTTATTCAAATCAATGAATAAACAAATGAATCAAACTTTGTTGGTCTTAAAGGTGCCACTTGACTCAAACTTTGTTCCACATCAGGGTAGGTTAACGATAGAGTAGAAAGTCAAACCAGGAGTGGTGCAGGTCCAGGAGGATGTAACCTACACCCAACACTTTCCTCCTCACTACTGCCACCCATTGTGTTACCCCAACCAGCTCCACATGTAATTTTAATAGAGAACTGGCCCCGAAGATTGCTAGACTTGTCCCATGTTTTAGATCACAAATCTCAGAAGCACTTTTATATGAACGAAAAGTTCATGTTTTGTGAGAATGGGGTAGAGGAAGGAATATTCCCTCAGTCATCTTGCTACCAGCTAGTTCTCCATTACCAAGAGACATACTTTAAGGTTCTAGTTCTGTCCTACCCTGCTTACCTCAGCTACCTAAACCATGGGCACACATGAATACACATGAAGCTGCTTTATACTAATCTGATCTGGAGAACTGGGTTTGATTCTGCACTTCTCCACATGAAGCCAGCTGGGTGACCTTGGGTCAGTCACAGCTCTTTCAGAGCTCAGCCCCAAAAATAAGTCTAGCTCACCACCTAGTGGTGCATAATGCTAAAAGAGCTAGAACATTAGGCTGCAGGACAATCTTAGGATCTCCTGGCTATACTACAAACAATGCCATATGATAATAGTAATAATCATAAATTATTGCTTTATACTGAATCAGACTATTGGTCCATCAGGGTCAACTTTGTCTACTCAGACTGGCAGCAGCTCTCCAGAGTCTCAGGAAGAGGTCTCTCACATCACCTACTGCCTGGTCTTTTTTTTAATAGGAGATGCCGGGGACTGGACCTGGGACCTTCTGCATGCAAAGCAGAGGCTCTTGTTTTTGGCATGTGCTGGCTTTTTAATTTTTGAAAAATGATTCAAGCAGCAGTATTAGGCAAAAGGTTTCACCTGGCTCTGAAGGACCAGCCATAGTGGCAACTCCATGCATGTTAGGGGAGATGATCAGTCATGATCTGTGTCTGATAGCATCTCCTTCTATAATCTGGCCCTGTTTTCCCCAGAAATAAGTTTCATTTGGCAATCACTGGCTGCGGTCACACGCAACATTAGCCACGCAAGAGATACGGAAGACAGGCGGAGTTTCCGGGCGCGATCTCACCAGCACATCTGGGGAGCGTAGCGCTTCTGTGGCACAACCGAGGCTTCCTCCCGAAACCGCGCAGCAAAAAACTAGTACCTCGGAGGTACTAGTTTCCGGAAACTGCGGGGCAAGGGCGGGCATCTGATCGCGTTTCCGGTGGCATCCGGCGCCCGCCCATGTCCCCTTGTGAAAAAGGTTTTTTTTCCCCCCAAGTCTCCGTGGTTGCGCACATGCACCCAACGGAGCATGCGCATTCGTAGTGTACACAAAAAAAGAAAACCAGTTCGCCGCGCCGCACGCTTCTTCATTGCGCGCAGGCATGTGTTGTGATCGACGCCTCTCCGTTACCACAGAAGCTCCACGGTACCTCCACAGAACCTCCACAGGAGGTATGATCGCTTTACTGCGTGTTAGTTTGCCCCAGGGCAAACAGCCACGCTTCCCCCCTGCAGTTTCCTGCCCGTGTGACCGGGGCCACCATTTCACAGATCTCAGAAGCTAAGCAGGGTGGGTACTTGGATGGGGGGCCACCAAGGAAAACTCTGCAGAGGAAGGAATGGCAAACCACCTCTGTTTGTCTCCTGCCACGAAAGCCCCCTGCTGGGGTCACCATAAGTCAATTGCAACTTTATTCCTTCTATTCTTGATGGCACGAACATACATACTTCACGCAGCATTTTAAGCTCTCCTTCTTTCCCCCATCAGCCGTATTGAGTGGGTGTGGCTGCACTGGAGTGAATATTTGAAGGCTCAGGACGAATTTAACGTCTGGATTCATAACATGAAGGTGACCTTGGAGCCCGACATAGAGCTACAGCTTGGCTTAAAGGAGAAGCAGTGGCAGCTGAGCCACGCCCAAGTCCTGCTCAATGATGTCATCAATCAATCGACCCTTCTGGAGAGACTACTGGAGGAAGCTGCTTCTTTGTATAATAGGATCGGAGACCCTAGTGTAGACGAGGATGTACAAAAAAAGATGAAGGCAGAATATGAAGAAGTCAAGACTGAAGCGCAGGTAAGAAAAAAACTAAGATGGAAAGAGAAATAGCATTAAAGCAGCAGTTACAGGGATTTCCTCCCTCATGTTATGAACCCACTTAAGGTTTTTCATAATAAACCCCACATACCATTAAGTCCCATTGTTGGTTCAGCCAGTGGGTCACAGCCTCAGTGCAGATACAGGGATGCTTCCAGTTCCTGACTGAACATGACCGTGTGTGGGGCTCCCCTGTTTTCCTAACGCTCCTAGCAACTGAGAACTGGAATGAGGAACCAGAAGTCATGCTGCAGCTTCCTTAGGTCTCTGACCCACACTTGAGGTGGTGCTCAAATTCTGAATGGTCTGGAATAACCTGGGGTATGAGCATGAGTGGAAAATCCTGTCTTGCAGTGTATGCTTGGACTTGGAAGGAATGTTCCTCCCTTCCAGATCCGGTCTATGTTTTAACTCATAACATTCAATGGAGTTTTGGATCTTGGTAAACTCATGCTGTAGACAACTCTTATGAGACTAGGGTCCGGCCTGGCAACCAGCTAGGCTTACCAAGTGGCGACGGGGGATAAGAACATAAGAACATAAGAGACGCCAATGTTGGATCAGGCCAAAGGCCCATCCAGTCCAACACTCTGTGTCACACAGTGGCCAGAAATACCAGTGCCATCAGGAGGTCCAGCAGTGGGGCCAGGACATTAGAAGCCCTCCCACTGTTGAGGTGCAACGCGTGTCGCCGTCCCCGCGGCAGGGATCCTGTGAAGACATGCGGATCCCCCGCTGCCACTTGGTAAGCCTACAACCAGCAGGAGACCAGGTGGGGACCTGGGGGAAGCAGCCATCAGTAATCGTGTGATGTGACACCATGCCTCTCTAGAGAAACTCTGTGGTAAACAGCTTCTGGGTTTCCCCCAGAAGTGACATCAGTCCTGTCTAGGAACCAGTGCAAACTTTACAGTTTAAGGTAAAGGTTCCCTTGCTCAAAAGCCAGTCGAATCCGACTCTAGGGTTGCGGTGCTCATCTCCGTTTCAAAGCCAAAGAGCCAGCACTGTCCGAAGACATTTCCGTGGTCATGTGGCCGGCATGACTAAACACCAAGGCGCACGGAACGCTGTTACCTTCCCACTGAAGTGGTACCTATATATCTACTTGCAATTTCTTGCTTTCGAACTGCCAGGTTGGCACGGGAGCTCACTCCGTCATGCGGCACACTCGGGTCTCGAACTGCTGAACTACCGACCTTCCACAGACTGCAGTTTAGCGTCTTAACCACTTGAGCCACTGCTCAATTTTATCATACAATAATTCCAGAGAGTTGTGATATCACTTCCAGGTTTTCCAGGACACGACATTACAATCACTGCTGGAAGATTTTCAGATTTTTTTTTTCTTTCTCCCACCAGCCACTGGGGATGCAGCAGAGACACATGCAGCCGTTTAAAGCAGGGGTTTGGATCATATGCCTTCCTTCTGCTTGCAGTCCTCTTTAGCTATTGTGAAAGCTGTGGACTGCATGTTCCTCTGGTACTAGGCATTGTAGTGAGAGGGAAGGAGGCAGGAAAGTTCTGCTCCTTCCGTTAGTGGGAAACCTACTCTGAATCCAACCCCATGTCCTCCCGGCTTACCGCTTGAGAACTGTGAATACAGAGTGTTGTTTCTGCTGTTACTCTGCAAGGAGGTTGGCCATTGTGCTTATTTTTTATCACAGTATCCTGTCTTTCCACTGAAGATTCATACATGGGCTTGGATCCACTAGAACGATTCCATGGGCAGAATGATTTCTCCCCTCAGAGATTGTCTCTTGCCACACCCTCCTGCTGCAGTCCCAGATGCCCTTGAAATACTGCTCTTGTTCCCTTAGGAACAGCATTTGTGGGGTTTTTTGGATGCAACGGGAGGGAGCAAGAACGTCATGCTCCACAAGTGGAAATTATTCTGCCCATGGAATGGCTCCAGTGGATCCAAGACGTGGAGTTTTCTGCAGCACAACCAGAGTCTTTCAAACCTACATTGCACAGATAACGCAGACATCTCTGAATTGGTCACCGGCAGAATTGGTCACAAGCTGACGTCTGCCACTTTCACTAGTGCTTGTAACTCCCCCCCCCTTGTGATTGTCATCAGCTCTCTTATAAGTTGAGCACTTGATTGCAGCTCCAATTTTCTTTAGCCAGAAAGCCGCTGCTGGAATAAGTTAATACGCTCCTGAGTAATGTCAAAGAGGAATTCTCACCCTTTCTGGCTTCATTCCCCACCCACCAAAGTCTTTCAATTACAGCCACCGAAAAACTTCTACAGCTTGGCGGCTTATTTCTTTTCCATTCCTTGTCTTCAGCCATATGCAGCCTAAAAGGTTTATTGGCAATCTGCTGTTAAAATAGTGTAAATAATCACTGGAGACGTTCTGTCTTTCCAGCTGTAGCAGGAAGAAGAGGGAGATTTTGATACTAATTCATTTTAGATTGGCGGGGAAGCATGACTTTTGTTTGTTCTGTGTAACTGGAATCTGGCTCGGAGGCTATTCATTATTTCCTGCATCCTTGACTACCTCCAGAGAGATCAATGAGGGTAGTATTTTAAATGAGTCAGAGTCGTATATGGCCATCCTATGGAGGTGAATTTCTATCAATGCTAGAAGATTTGCAGAGTTGATGAATTTTCTGAATTCGTTGCACTTTCTGAACATATGAAGCGGCCTTGAACTGAGACCCATTGGCCCATCCAGTCTATTCCAGGTGACAGCAACTCTTTAGGGTCTTAGGAGTTTTTGCATTTCAAGCAGGTATTCTGCCACTGATCAAATTCAAGTGTGATTCTCAAATCTCACTTCAACCTGTGCAAACCATCTGTTTGGGAGGGAGTATATGGACAGTGTGACTATTGCGTGCAAGGGATTATTTTGTGTTGTCACTGTTCCTTCAAGCCTGTTACCCCCGCTCTCTTGCCTAGCCACAGGGCTTATTGTATTACTCTTAGCTAGTGTTGCCAGCCTCTCCAGGTGAGGCCTGGAGTTCTCCTGGAATTACAACTGATCTCCAGACTGGAGAAACCAGTTCCCCTGGAGAAAATGGCAGCATCAGAGGTGAGACTCTATGGTTTACCATGGATTATAGCTGAACTCTCTCCCCAAATTTTGCCCTGCAAAGTACTGCCCCCAAATCTCCAGGAATTTCCCTGGCCGGAGTTGGCAACCTTACTCTCAGCATTGGCCAATGGATATGAACTGAGCAGTTCTGTCTTTCCTCTAGTGCTTAAAGATTTCCTGCTCTGATTCCCAGACAGAGAGAGGAGGAGGAGGATCCCCAACCACTGTAGTTTCTCTTCCAGTGGCAGTGGATCTTTCTCTCCAAAGGCACTATGGTCTCAAACCTGAAAGTATGATGGCGGGACCAAGGCTCTTGTAAGAAACAAAGGAGGAAAACTTCCAGATGTGTTTATACAGAATACCGAATCAGACCCTTAGTCCATCAAGGCAGCAGCTTTCCAGAATCTCATGTGGAGGTCTTTCACATGCTGGGGATCGAACCTGGACCTTTTCCATGCCAAGCAGATGCTCTACCACTGAGCCACATCTCAGTGCTTTCTGAGACCACTTAAATGTGTGAACTCCTTAAGAAAAGTCCTGTGCCGCTAAGGTGCCAGCAAGTTCATGGCCAATAGAACTTCCCATGGGAGAAAACAGTAAACTTCAAATGCACTGGGATATAGTAAACGTTAACGGGGGATTCCTTTTGAGGTTTTCCTCCTTTTTGGTCTCCTGTTTTGATCCCCTTCCCGTTCTTTCTGTGCCAGGCACACACTAAACGGGGAAAAGCCAGCACAGAGGGCAGATGAGCAAAGGCACGTTTTACTACTTTTGTTCAGATTCTGTTCTGTTTCATTCACAGTTGTGCAAATATACAGAGGCATGTTCCGCTATCCGAGCATTTAGTCCAGGTTTTAAGTGAGTCCAGGTGAGGGAGAGCAGCCAAGCCCAAAGGGGTAAATTCCATTTGCGGGCTCCATTTGTTAATTGCAGCGGCAGCTTCCGAAGCAGCCTTTGAAATCCGAGCCATTTTTCTTCTTTTTGTGCACCGTGTTCCAGGTAACAATTGTTTCCTCATGGCAAGAGGCACACAAATCACGCTCTTGCCAACTTTTAACTCAGATTTATGAGACTCGCCCTGAATGTTGCCTTTTGGTATTCAGGGTGGATCACCTTGATTGTGGGTTGGTCTTGCCAAAACAACCAGTGCTGGATTACTCTGATTCATACGAGTGTTTATAATGTCCACTATTTCCCCCTTGAAATATTTATTTAGAAATAATAGAGTTAAGTTGCATAATGGTATGAAGTGTGAAAGGACAGAACATGTTCCCAATTGTTACTAATATTGTTGTTGTTTCATAATAATAACAATAACAATAATAACAATATAAGCAGTACCAAGACAACAATATTTAATAATAACAGTAGTAAGTCAGTGTGGTGTAGTGGTTACAGTGTTGGAGAGACCCAGGTTCGAATCCCAACTCTGCCTTAGGCCAGTCATGTGCTCTCACCCTAACCTACCTTATAGGGTTGTTGTGAGGATAAAAAGGAGAAAGGGAAGAATGTTGTAAGCCACTTAAGGTCCTTATTGGGGAGAAAAGTGGAGTATAAATGAAATAAATGTGTATAGTATATTACTAAGTTGCTCCAAATTATTGTTACTTACAACTATAACTTCTATAATTATGAGCACTTCTGACCTTACCTCTTATTCAAGTCCAACCTCATTCCAATTCAAAATAAATGGCTGCCAGTTCTGAATAAATATATTTTGCAGGGGGGAATCTTTCCCATAAATGCCAGCTTATCCATAAGCATAATAATTTATTTATTTAGAACATTTCTATGCAGCCTCTTCAGAGCCCTGTTCATAGTGGCTTACAATGGAAAACCACAATATTATAATTACAACATAAAACAACATTTTCTCAGCCAACTGTTTCGTGTAGGCAAAGATTTTTTTAGTCCTGTTTTTGTGGATAATATTCTTGCTGCTATAATCTTGGAGACATTCAGAGTATTGTCCTGTACTGATCCTCAAAGGACTAACAAGGTATTTTATAGTTCTTAATTTGCTCACATCAAAAATATTGTGGCTTGGTCCTGCTAGAACACCAAACCCTGGATTACCCTAATTCATATGGGTGCATTTAACATGAAGGGATTTTAGCATGCTGAGTTATGGCGCTCTCTCTCTCTCTTAAAAAATGTAAAGCATTGAAAACACATTGGACATGACCTTATAGGCCCTCAGAACTTGGTGTCCATTAAACTGGGCACTGAATCATAGCACAGCAAGGACTGGAACAGACTGCTTTGTCCTTATGCTAGGGTCAAGATGCGAACCAAGATCCACATTTCTGAAGTGGTCAAGTGACAGGGGAGGGGAGAGAGGGAGGAGGACAGGCCCCTTTGTGTCCTTGGTTTTTAAAAATGTGAAGTATGAGCAGAAAAGATAACTTTCCGTCTCCCCACGGTTCATGTTTCTCTTTGTTTCAGAGGAGAGTACAACTGCTTGAGAAGATAACACAAGAGCATGAGCGATACAAGGGCAGTGTGGACCAGTTTCATCTGTGGCTGACCCGTGTGACAGAAAGACTAAACAGCTGCCTCAGCCAAGGAGTGAAAGTCCCGGCAGAAAACAGAATTAAGTCCCTGCAGGTACTCGACTTGTTCTGAGCAAGGGGATTTCGTAGGAAGTAAGGGGTCTGGCTCATATTTCCTGGCCTATCCATTTGTGTGTGTGGTTCTGGAGACCCGGCAAGCAGGGTAGAAAAGAAAACATGGTTTGAAGGATCCTGGTTCTGCTCAGCTCGATGGCTTTGAAAAAGTGGCCCCCTCTCTCTGGCCTAAATTGCAAGGCTGCCATGAGGATTAATAAAATGAACCAGAAATATGAATTTGTAACTGTGTCTGAGCACTTGAAACAACAATAGGACATAGAGCTGCCAACAACCGGGGTGGTGGTGGCTTTTTTTCAGGGTTTCCCCCCCCTGTTTACCTCATACCTTGAAGTCCATACCCCAGTATACCAAAATATGCCCAGAACGTGCCAAATCCCAATGGACTCCATGGTCTGACTCACATCAGAGCATACCATGCCCTCTTCCATACTGGCAAATCCAGTCCTGGCCCAACCCACTGTCCAGGTATTTTTAAAATCACAAGCCCTACTACAAAGAATCAAAATAAAATTACTCTTGTTTGGAACTGGGCATTGAGGCAACATTGAACAACCCTGAGGTGTGCTCTCTGTGTTCTCTATTAGATACCCTTAGATGAGCGAGTAGACTGATCACTCATCACCAAAAAGATCTCAGCTGCTGCTCCCATCATAGTGGCTTACAATGGAAAACCACAATATTAAAAATACAACATAAAACAATATTTTCTCAGCCAGCTGTTTCGTGTAGGCAAAGATTTTTTTAGTCCTGTTTTTGTGCTGCTATAATCTTGGGTATCCTTTTCATATTGTCCTGTACTGATCCTCAAATGACTAACAAGGTATTTTATATTTCTTAATTTGCTCACATCAAAAATATTGTGGCTTGGTCCTGCTAGAACACCAAACCCTGGATTACCCTAATTCATATGGGTGCATTTAACATGAAGGGATTTTAGCATGCTGAGTTATGGCGCTCTCTCTCTCTCTTAAAAAATGTAAAGCATTGAAAACACATTGGACATGACCTTATAGGCCCTCGGAACTTTGTGTCCATTAAACTGAGCACTGAATCATAGCACAGCAAGGACTGGAACAGACTGCTTTGTCCTTATGCTAGGGTCAAGATGCGAACCAAGATCCACATTTCTGAAGTGGTCAAGTGACAGGGGAGGGGAGAGAGGGAGGAGGACAGGCCCCTTTGTGTCCTTGGTTTTTAAAAATGTGAAGTATGAGCAGAAAAGATAACTTTCCGTCTCCCCACGGTTCATGTTTCTCTTTGTTTCAGAGGAGAGTACAACTGCTTGAGAAGATAACACAAGAGCATGAGCGATACAAGGGCAGTGTGGACCAGTTTCATCTGTGGCTGACCCGTGTGACAGAAAGACTAAACAGCTGCCTCAGCCAAGGAGTGAAAGTCCCGGCAGAAAACAGAATTAAGTCCCTGCAGGTACTCGACTTGTTCTGAGCAAGGGGATTTCGTAGGAAGTAAGGGGTCTGGCTCATATTTCCTGGCCTATCCATTTGTGTGTGTGGTTCTGGAGACCCGGCAAGCAGGGTAGAAAAGAAAACATGGTTTGAAGGATCCTGGTTCTGCTCAGCTCGATGGCTTTGAAAAAGTGGCCCCCTCTCTCTGGCCTAAATTGCAAGGCTGCCATGAGGATTAATAAAATGAACCAGAAATATGAATTTGTAACTGTGTCTGAGCACTTGAAACAACAATAGGACATAGAGCTGCCAACAACCGGGGTGGTGGTGGCTTTTTTTCAGGGTTTCCCCCCCTGTTTACCTCATACCTTGAAGTTCCATACCCCAGTATACCAAAATATGCCCAGAACGTGCCAAATCCCAATGGACTCCATGGTCTGACTCACATCAGAGCATACCATGCCCTCTTCCATACTGGCAAATCCTGTCCTGGCCCAACCAGTGGTCCAGTCCCCCCCTGTTTACCTCATACCTTGAAGTTCCATACCCCAGTATACCAAAATATGCCCAGAACGTGCCAAATCCCAATGGACTCCATGGTCTGACTCACATCAGAGCATACCATGCCCTCTTCCATACTGGCAAATCCTGTCCTGGCCCAACCAGTGGTCCAGGTATTTTTAAAATCACAAGCCCTACTACAAAGAATCAAAATTAAATTACTCTGGTTTGGAGCTGGGCATTGAGGCAACACTGAACAACCCTGAGGTGTGCTCTCTGTGTTCTCTATTGGATACCCTTAGATTAGCGAGTAGACTGATCACTCATCACCAAAAAGATCTCAGCTGCTGCTCCCAGGCTTAGAGCTCAGCAACTTTTCTACCTCAGAGAAGCCTTTAAGGTTTTCACCTCCAGAATAGGTCCACAAGGGGCCAGGAGACCTCTTGAGTTGACCATCTTCGCTCAATGTCATTATTGGAGGAGTCACCATCAAAGGAATCTGCAGGCCAGGTCACAACTTAATATGTATTGGACATTCTATATATGTATAGGCACCATAGCATGCTGCGCGTAGCCCAACAGTATCGCATCACCACTATGCCAACACAACATACACCCAACACTGTCTGGCTACAAGATGGCAGAACAGTTTACTCTGAACCCCTTCTTCCTGTAGGACATTACCAAAGACGTGAAGAATGGTGAGAAGAAACTGAGACATCTCGAAGCTCAGTCTCTCGGCGTGATGGAAAACACCTCCCCACTGGGAGCAGAAAAGATGAAAGATGAACTGGAGGAGCTGAAAAAGGCTCTAGAGAAGCTGAAAGTAGCATGCCTTGAGGAAGAGGAGAGACTGATGAAGACTCTTAGGTCAGAAAATGCCTATCACTCACAAGCCAGGCTGTTAGAAGCTGAGGTCCAAGAGTTTCTCAAAAACCTACAAAGACTGAGAAACAATTTTGAACCTAATGACCGCGTGAGAAGCGAAGAGGACTTGATCGCCTTGTGGAGGAGATACATGGTAAGTGTGTTAATAACTGGTCAGGAGGGAAGAAAGGAAGCTGGGCAAAGATTCATGGTCTATAAAGAACTAGCTTTCTTACAGCTATGATCTGCACTAGCCCTTCCTTCATCAAAAAGTAACTTTCCAATGAAATTTAAGTAGCATTTTTGTGTACACATATTACATTAAATATATTCTTAAATGTGCAGATGAAGGGATTAGAAGAACAAACGTGCCACTACTATTAGTTATTGTCCCTTCTCTTACGCTTTTGCTTTTCCTCTGTGCAATGCCCTTCGGATTCATTCTTTAAAAATAGGTGTCCTTTTTCCAAAGAGCTTAGCATGGTATAGACCAGGGGTGTCGAACTCATTTGTTATGAGGGCCAGATCTGACATAAATGAGACCTTGTTGGGCCAGGTCATGTGTGTCATAAAATGTAATGCCAGGTAGTGGAGATATAAACTTTATAAAGGACACAAACACAAAGGGTTTTTTTTACTTAAAATAAAAACATGCTTAAAACATTAGCACTCTTGCAATATTTTGTTTAGTTAGCAGTGTCTGATAACTGACACCTCTTGCTCTGAATTATTGCATCAAAATGTCTGTGCTGTTGCAATCTTGAGTATGCTGTTCATGTGTGTATCTGTATGCTGCAAACCTACAATGACGCAGAAGCAGCAGAACTGGAAGAAGAAGCAGAAGACAGCCAGTTCCACTGCGGGCCTGATAGAAGCCCTCCGGGGGCCTGATCCGGCCCCTGGGCCACTTGTTTGACACCCCTGGTATAGACGATTCTCTCCTTCCATTTAATCTATGCAACAAACCTATGAGGTAGAAGTAGTTGGCGGGGGGCGCTCAGATTATCTGCTTGGCATGTGGAAGGTCCCGGGTTCAATCCCTGGTATCTCCAGTTAAAAGGATCAGGTAGGAGGCAATGTGAAAGACCTCAGCCTGAAGCCCTGGGAGAGCTGCTGCCAGTCTGAGCAGACAATACTGACCTTGATGGGCCAATGGTCTGATTCAGTATAGGGCAGCTCCATGTGTGTTTGTGTATTAGACTGAGTGATAGTGACCAGGCCAAGGTCACCCAATGAACTTCAAAACTTTTGGGTGAGGGGCTTAAACCTGAGGCTCTCCAAGTCCTAGACCAACAGTTTCACTTCTTTCCGTTTTGATAAAATAGTTCCTTGTTGAAAATCTGGGTCTTGAAAGATGAATATACTACACTTTTGATTATGCAGATGACAAGAGTTTTACCAGTTAAGAAGTCCAACAGTAAAATAGCTCTCAACTTGATCACATTAGCTTTCTCTACCAGGAGAACTGATTTACTGTGCATTCAAAGGCTGTGTTTTTGCATTGAAGGCAACAAGAGCAGCTCTTGCAGAGGAGGAATCCAAGGTCGACAGGCTGAAGGCTCAACTGAAGGAGCTGTTCAGGTTTTCGCAGGACATGCAGCCGCTGTCGGAGAGTGTGATCTGCGCGATCCGGGAATATCAAAGGTATTTTCCAGTTGGGAGGGGCAGTGGTCTAAAATAAGTGACGTCGGAGGGATTAGGTGGCTCCAGCACTATGGAAACAATGCAAGCAAGAGACTGATTTAGATTTATCTGCCAGCTATAAAAATAACAAGTAAACCAGGTGGACACTAACATTAAGTTCAATAGCTTTGGTTACGGCTGCTTTGCAGAAGTCTGTTTAAAGGGCCTTGCCAGAGAAGTCGGAAATGGCAGCTGTCATTGCAAATGGGAGGGTGAGAAAAAGGATTAGCCACAGTGTGTCGAAAAACCACCCCATCCCTGGTGGTGACTTGCTTTATTGGTCTGCCTCTGTCATGGTCTGGGTATTAGTCTACATCACAAGAGAGAGAAAAGCGTCTGTAGCCTCCTTTTGACTCTTCCTCTCCAATGGATTTTACTGCTGCAACTAGATGGAAGTCTACTTTTTTCCTTTTTCTTTTTTCTCCCCCCCCCACTGCTTCTGCCATACAGCCTTTTGTTTGTTAGATGTTGTAGATTTTCCGGGTTGTATGGCCGTGGTCTTGGCATCGTAGGACCTGATGTTTCGCCAGTAGCCGTGACTGGCATCCTCAGAGGTATAACACAGAAAGATGGAGCGCTCTCTGTGTCAAGCCTTTTGTTTGTTGTAAGCAATGCACCCTCTAAGCTGTGGAGTCTTCTGAGCAAAAATTCTACTTTGTGAGCTACTGGCATTAAAGTTGTGAGTGAGCAATTTGGCTACTGCGTAAATTAGTTTGCTCTGCAGCCATCCTTCCTGAGCAAAGATAAAAACGTGTGAGCCAGAAGCTAAAAAACTGTGAGTTAGCTCACACTAACTCAGCTTAGAGGGAACACTGGTTGTAAGTATCCAGTATTCTTACAGGACCCAACCAGTTACCAGGTAGAGAGGGTTGATGCTAGATTTGGCGTGGAGAGCAATGATTCAGAGACCCACCGTGGAACTCCGTGGAGAGTTACACCCTTCTTAAGCTCATTGACTTCAATGAACTTAGAAGGGCTAGGGATTTCAGGCTGATTTGGAAATAGATTATGTTGCTTCCCATGGGAGACAGGATTGTGCCAGTCTTCAGCTGCAGCTTTGCAGATCACTGTTTGAGGCAATGCCTTTAATGCCAGTCTTTGGGATTTGGCAGCCTATCTGTGCTTATGAGTGATATTGTCCATGATTTGGTACTTGCATTTCAAGTGTAGAGCCGAATGCTATGAGCAGCAGAGGCAGGAATGAATTGCCGTTTGCCTGCTCGCGGGTCCTCTTCTCCAAGTTTGTTTTGATGGTTTCCTTCCCCTCTTAGTGGGCCTGCTTTTCCTGTTTCTGCTTACATTCAAACAGGATAAATGGCAAATCATGCCCGCCCTTCCCTCCCTCCCTCTCTCTTTCTCTGAGCTTTGGCAAAGGATTTCCGCTTCCAGGCCAACTAGAATCAGGAAGCAAAGTGCCTGTGGCCAAACCTTTTGCAGACTTGGAGAAAAAGATCACCCGCCGAGCAGTAACAAGGTCACGTTCTGTTTGCATCGGAAGCACGTCTTTCTTGTGTCAAAATACGGGTCGTGCTGGCAAGCTGAAAGAGGTTTGTGTTAATTAAATTGTTCATTACGGGAGAACCAGCCGTTCAGATTTTAGAAGCAAAACTGGGACGCTTTCCAGTGACGAACAGCAAGAATGGGCGGCTTGAAAATTTGCCACAGCGGAGGCGACTCTTGGCAGCCTGCTCCTGCTCCGCTTTGCTTGAAAGGGGTGGCAACCATACAAAGCCTTGTGGCAGGGATGGAGGAGAGAAGGGCAGGAAACCACAACGTCCTCTCTCACTCTCCCAACTCAGCTCATGTCTCTCCTTGTTTCGCTAATGAATACTGAAGTTCTCCCAATAACTATTAGTGTCTGGAAGATGCTTCTTGAAAGGCCTTTTAACACTGGTATTTGCTGGCAGGCCCTGACCTGGATTGCACAGGCTAGCCTGATCTTGTCAGATCTCAAAAGCTAAGAAGGGTCAGCTCTGACTAGGTTTTGGATGAGAGACCTCCAAGGAATACCAGGGTGGTGACATTAAGGCAGGCAGTGGCAAACCACCTCTGAATGTCTCTTGCCTTGAACATCCTACAGGGTCACCGTAAGTCAGCTGTGACCTGACAGGGGGAAAAAAATTGTTGGCGGCTGGGATCCATCTAGTTCCCCGACTGAGGCTGAAGTTCAAACTGTACAGTTATCTGTATCAGCTGCCTGTGTGTTTGCCACAGCAGAGCAAATAGCATCTCCTTTCAGCCAGTTCTGGTTGGGGATACAGTTCAGAAGAGAAGGCTTAACCCTCCCTCCCCCCCAGTGTTGCAGTACTGGCCTCCCCACAAATGAAAAGCTGCTGGGAGCTCCATTCATGGAATTCCTGGTGTCTCGTCTCCTTTGGTTCACAGGCTCTAACAGTGTTTGTGAGGCAGAGAGAGAAGTAGTTTGGGACTGCAAAAAATTCAGCAAGGGAGAAGTGAGTCTGACTTCCGGAGGCATCTAGAAGCAAAAGCTTTTGAATGCTGGTTCTTCCTCTTTTCCTGCTGCCTTCAACTTTTCCTAGCGTTGTTGTCTTTTCCAGTGACTCTTGTCTTCTCATCATGTGGCCAAAGTACACAAAGCCTCAGTTTAGTCATTTTAGCTTCTAGGGAGAATCCAGGCTTGATTTGATCAAGAACCCACTTATTTGTCTTTTTGGCAGTCCACGATCCGTGTAAAACTCTCCTCCAACACCACGTTTCAAAGGAGTCCACTTTCTTCCTGTCAGATTTCTTCATTGTCCAACTTTCACACCTATACGTAGTAACGGGGAACACTTGTGGCACGAACAAGTTTGATCGTGGTCATCGATGACACATCCTTACACTTCAGAATCTTTTCCACCTCCTTCACGGCTGCCCTTCCCAGTCTCAGTCTCTCCTCCCTTTTGGTTGATGATGGTGCCAAGGAACAGAAAATCTTGAAGAATGTCTTCATCATCAACCGTAAAGTTGTGTAATTCCCCAGTAGTCATTACTTTTGTCTTTTTGATGTTCTACTATAATCCTGCTTTGGCACTTTCTGCTTTAATCTTCATCCGGAGTCCTTTCAGGTCTCCACTGTTTTCTGCTAGTAATGTGGTGTCATCTGCATATCTCAAATTGTGAATGTTCTTTCCTCCGATTTTCATTCCACTTTCGTCTAAATCTAACAGCTTTCCTTATGTTCTGCATAAATTGAAGAGATAGGGAGATAAAGTACGTCCTTGTCTGACATTTTTGCCAACTGAGAACCATTCTCTTTCCCCATATTCTGTCCTGAGTCGACAGTAGCCTCTTGTCCAGGGCACAGGTTGCACATCAAGAAGAAGAAGAAGAAGAGATTGGATTTATACCCCGCCCTTCACTTCGAGTCTCAGAGCGGCTTACAAACTCCTTTCCCTTCCCCTCCCCACAACAGACACCCTGTGAGGTGGGTGGGGCTGAGTGACACAAACTGCTCTTTTTCAAGGACAGAAGGAGGAGGAGGAGGAGGAGGA